TCTCTCTCTCTCTCTCTCTCTCTCTCTCTCTCTCTCTCTCTTTGAGATGGGATCTAGCTATGTAGCCCAGGCTGGCCTAGAGCTCTAGAACCTCCTATCTCTGGCTGTTGGGATTACAGACTGCAGCACCTGGCCTTGGGGAATTTCTTCTCGATCAGGACAGGCGGGTGGATTTCCTGCTGCCCCGAAGGGCCAAGGTGAAGACAGACAAGCGGAAGATCTGTTGAGGTTGGTTACCCCGTAGAGGAGACGCCTGGCCTTCTGTCCCTTCTGAAAGGGGGCAAGGACAAAACAGACCCAAGCAGCCAACCAGCGCTGTCACTCAGAGCAACAGTATCGACAACAAGAAGGGACAACACTCCCTCGGGCTGCTGGGCACACCTCCTTCCTGACTCAGATCCAAGGGCTTGGCTTCCCTTCTTCCCTCTAAATCGCAGTGCAGAGAAACAGGGTGATGATGTTTAGAAACACCGGGGGGCTCCTTGGGCAGCACCACACAGCCTGGCCCACCCCGTTCACCCCTTCCTCATCTGACCTTTGAGGGAATCCTCACATCTTTCCCAGGATCTCTAGGGCCCAGGGTCCTTGGTTCCACACATCTGCGTCTCTTTCCCTAGACACAGACAGGGACACAGTATCTTTAGGGACACAGATCCCCTCCTGGGCTCTTTTATTCCTGGAGGCCAAAGGCCACACTCCTCCTCCGCAAACCTCTTGGGCTCAGGGCTGAACTCCTCCTGAGGTTTGTTAGTGACTGAGACCAAAACAGTCCGGGTCGCTAATCCCTCTTGGTGGCAGTCAGGTCTGAAGGCAGCTGAAGAGGGTTGACAGCTTTTTGGACCTCAGAGAAAAAAATGTCCTCTACTCCAACTGCTTCCACTTCTGCCAACAAGCTGTCTTCCCAAGAGCCGCTGTAGCCGGTCCATCCCTAGATCTGCTCTGAAGGCCAGAGTACTTACTCATGGCTGGAGAGAGAGAGAGGACGGCTGGAGAGGGGAGTAGCATGTGTGTGTGTGTGTGTGTGTGTGTGTGTGTGTGTGTGTGTGTGTATGTGTGTGCAGAGATGTGTGTATGTGCATAGACGTGTGTGTGTGTGTGTGTGCATAAATGTGTGTGTGTACATAGATGTGTGTGTGTGAGTGTGTGCATAGACGTG